GAGAGAGAGAGACAGTGACAAATGAACACATTTATATATACATACATTGTACATCAAGTGTAAATGTAGTGTTACTAGTTCCAGCATCATTACTAACAGTTAGAGTATATATACCGGATTGATTACGTTGTACATTAGTAAATGATGCAGTGTAATCATTCACAGTTACTCCAGTGTTAGATACAGGATTATCATTTAATGATAATTGTGAAGATGTTATAGTTGGAGGGAATGCATTGGGTGGTCTTCCCTGTAGATCAACACTGACATCACCATCTTCTACTGCTTGAACAGAATCATTTGTCATTAGAGATGGAGTAACTATGAGACGTGGATTGATTTGATTTTTTAATTTATGTATAAGTTACCTGGTAGTCCAATGGTATATATGAAACTTTCTCCAGCGTTCCCTGTACCACAAGTAATCTGAGTTAAGTCGAATTCTCTAGTAAAGTTCAATAAAGTGAAGTTAGTCTGAAATGTCAGCGTCCCTTGTAGTAGGTCACCAGTTGCTGTGAATTGCCCAATAAAATCTGATGGCTCTGTGAGCTCTCCAGTAGACCCATTATAGCTTGTTGATCTAAGGCTTTCACCAACCTTCCTGATAAACCATGATGTTTGAGCTTGATGAACATTATTAATAGTGAGACAGTACAGAGATATCTCTTCACCTTCAGAAGCTATTACATACTCTGACAATGGAATTCTATATATAGTGACTATCTGGCAAAGCGCTAGACTCGAAAAAAGAATAGACAACAGCAAGCTTTCCTCCATCGCAGAGCTAGCCTTAGCCTACCCCCAATTCCCTGTGTCTAATTTTATAATTTTATCAGAACCCTTCCGGGTGAAAATAAAAAATAATTATTATTTTTAAAAAGGAAACTACCCACACATTAAAGGGACACGTTCACGGAAATAGAATGCACACGTTACTGTAGAGGAAGTAAACATTAAATTGGGCGTGCAACAGATCATTAATTAATAGTTATGACACGTGTTTAGACACGCGTAGAGAGTAGAGACAGCAATCAGTCGCAGAACCAGGAGTAGGCATCTGTAGAACACTTCTCTCGAACAGAATTAGCTCTTTTGCCACCCCAAGATACTCTTTTTAGTGAAGAAACACCAGGAATATTTACAAGTAGCCACTCGAGTAGCCATTTTGCCTTAATTATTAGGGGCGCGGCCGCACGTTATGAATAGTTATCAACACTAAACGTCATCATTAATGATGTCATCTTGAAAAACGGGCCAGTTTTTCAAGATGACGTGCTTCCGTGCATGTGTCCCTTTAATGGAGTTTACAAATTTAATGCATAACAAAGACAATAAATATCATTAGAACAGCAAGGAGGAACACGCTAGCTTGCACATCAACTAAAGAAGGAACAATAAATACAATTTTTATCTAAGTTTAAGTATACCTGCACTATTAGCTGGTTCATTGGTTGCTCCTGGAGTAGCTGTTGCCACCGCTGT